GACTTCCACAAGTACATGAGGAGGCACAAGGCGGAGTCCAGCGAGCTGGTGCGCAACAGCCACCACACGTGGCTGTACCAGGGGGAAGGCGCCCACCAGGTCATGCGGGCCATCCGCCAGAGGTGAGCGCCCAGCGGTCCTCCCGGTGCCAGGCCGCACGGTCCTTGGCTGGGAGGAGAGGACAGAACTGAGAAGCCGACTCAGGATTGAGTTCCGCTTGTTAGACCCGGATGGGGACCCATCGAAAGACCGGCAGTTAGCAAAGGCGAACCAGCCCTTACTGTGGGCACACTGCATCTGGGATTAGAAAGAGATTGCATGGCTGTTTCCTGCTGATTAGAGAAATGGCCCGTCATCTCTGTGCACAGGATGCTCTGCAGGGGTTTTATTTTTTTACTTTTTATTGTTAAATATTTTTTAATTGATTTCAGAGAGAGGAAGGGAGAAGAGACAGAAACATCAGTGATGAGAATCAATGATCAGCTGCCTCCTGCACGCCCCCTACTGGGGATTGAGCCCGCAACCTGGGCGTGTGCCCTTGGCTGGACTCGAACCTGGGACCCTTCAGTCTGCAGGCCGACACTCTATCCACTGAGCCACACCAGCCAGGGCCCCTGTGGGGTTTTAGATAACCTTCCTCCTGGGGGGAGTGCCCCCCACCTAATTTAGTAGAAATCTCATCTTTCCCCCGCAGTGGGTGTCTCTGGCATCATGATAACCTCTTCCTGCTCCTATAGGGCCGGTCCGGGGTGGCTTACGGGGCTCCCAGGGGAGGTGTGCAGGGGCAGCGCTGTGGCAGGCCCAGGGCCCACACCAGCCGGCTGTCAGGGTGCCACCTTGCATGAGGCTGCCCAGCTGAATGCCTGCTGCCACCAGGGTGCTGCGCCTCACCCGCCTGCCAGCAGAGATCGTGGAGCTCAGCGAGCCCATGCAGGTCGTGCGGTACGGAGAGGGCGGCCACTACCATGCCCACGTGGACAGCGGGCCTGTGTACCCAGAGACCATCTGCTCCCACACCAAGCTGGTGGCGAACGAGTCGGTGCCCTTCGAGACCTCCTGCCGGCAAGTACCTCCCCCCTGGGGGCTGCCTGGACGCCCAGACCAGACTCACCTGCCCTGTGGGCAGGCCCTGGGCTACCTGGTCACGGACACGCCCAGTGTCAGGAAAGGGGTGGCCAGACTGAGGTACCCGCAGACACTGAAACTGGTCCCCAGGGCTGTGAGGCAAGGGGGGGAAAGGCTAGAACCCCGGCTCTTTCTGCCGCTCCCTGGGTGCTGAGCCTGCCTCCCCAGCTGGCCTTGGCTGGGGCCCTGGGATCTAAGTGCACCTGGGATCTTGGCTGCCAAAAACTTTAAGACATAGAAGGAGACTAGGTTTGTGGGGAGAATGGGCTGGGGACGCCTTGGTCCTGCCCTGCCCTCTGGCCCGTGGGAGCCTGGGCAGCTCACCCTGCCCTCGGCGGGCACTGCTCAGCGCCCCTGCCTTACAGCTACATGACCGTGCTGTTCTACCTGAACAACGTCACCAGCGGGGGAGAGACTGTCTTCCCTGTCGCAGACAACAGAACCTACGATGAAATGGTAAGCCCACCAGGCTGCTGCCCGGGCGGGCGTTGGGCACACGTGGCACCGCCCTCTACACCTGGTTTCCCTCTGGCCACCTGGCCTGGCTCCTGGCCAGTCAGTGGGGGCAGCTGAGAACCTCACCGCCCTCCTGCCCACAGAGTCTGATTCAGGACGACGTCGACCTCCGGGACACTCGGAGACACTGTGACAAGGGCAACCTCCGTGTCAAACCCCAGCAGGGCACAGCAGTCTTCTGGTACAACTACCTGCCTGACGGGCAAGGTGAGGGCCTTCGAGGGCAGGGCTGCCCCCGGAGGGAAGCTCCCTGTACCCGCCCCAGCGCCGCCCTGGTGGGCAGTTTCTGGCCCTAGTGCCTCCCCGAACCATCCTCAGTGGCTCTGGGGCCGCTTCCTGGGTTACCCCGACCCCTGGGACTCCCCGGCGCCCTAGCCCTCAGCTCGCTGGGACTGGGGACGCATCCCTTACCCACCCAGGCTGGGCAGGGCTCGGGACAGGCTCGGCTGGACAGCTGGGTTCCCAGGGCCGTGGCGGGGACGAAGCAATAGCTGGTGAGAGGTGCTGAGCCCCCACGGTGGCGGGGCCGGATGTTTGCCACGGGAGGGAGGTGCGCACAGCGGGGCCGTGTCCCCGGCCAAGCCCAGGGCAGCCCAGCCTGGTGCCCCGGGCCCCCTCCCTGGCTCACACCAGGCCCCTCTCCTAGGCTGGGTGGGCGACGTGGACGACTACTCGCTGCACGGGGGCTGCCTGGTCACTCGTGGCACTAAGTGGATCGC